TTAGCTCCTCCAAACTATTTGGGGTTCCTTCTGCCTAACTCTCGATCCCCCAAGAACCCCGTGTTAGACAGATCCCTGTTATGTCTTTCCAGTAGCATCTCTTCCCTTCAAATCACTTATCACAATTTGCATTCATGTTCATTTGTGGGTTGTTCCTGGTTCCCTACTAGAACTAAATTCTATGGAACAGAACTAATATGTTACCGAGGTTTCTCCAGTAAAATGCCTGGACACAGTAGCCACTCAATAAATCCATATATATTCAGCAACTGAATGAACATATGATTTAAGATCTGGACTCACATCCCTAGATGGGTAAGGTCCCTCCAGCTTTTCCCCTTTTGTTGGGTGACTGACCAAGTGCCCAGTCCTAAGAGACCTTAGCAAGAAACAATGCAGGGAGCATGGAGAAAATCTAGCTCTGGACTTGAACATAGATGGACTGCCATGACACTTCATGGGTTGGTGTTTTCTCAGGAGTGGGCAGGTTTTTTGCAACAGAAGCATCATAACCCCGCCCTTGACAGGGTGGCTCTGGGCTTCCTGGAGAACATGTGATGTGACAGCAGGTTGCTACCAGAAAGCAGAAAAGGCCAGACATCTCCTCGGTGCAGAGAAACAGGTACGGCCTGTTCTGACAGACCAAGACTCAACTCTTGGCCTTATTGCTTACTTGTCTGGTGACCTTGGGCAAGGATCTAACCTCATGGAGCTTCAGTGTGTCCATCTGTACATGGGGAGCAGTTACTCTCTCCAGTCAGGTAGCTCTGGGAGGATTAATAGGGCAAAGTCTCTGGGAGGCCCAGCAGGATGTCTGTCATGAAGTAAGTGCTCAATAATCACAGATTGATCATGCACATGGGGCCCAGGTTGGCCTTTGGTTTTATGACCCAGTGCCTAGTACAGAGTCTAGCACACAGTAGATCTTTAGGAAATTTTTCCTTAGGAATAAATAAATAGTCAAATGTATTTGAAGGATTCCTGTGTGTAAAAACTCCTCCATTACCACACACTCCAACCAAATGCTTTCCTTTGGGCAACCCTAACCCCTGTGCTTGGGAATCTCAGGGCTGAGGAATAACGTATTTGTGGGGGTGCATCTGTCCCAAGTCATGAGTCATCTCGGAGACCCTCCTTCTGCCTTGTGCTTGTGGGGGCTGGACATCCTTCAGCCCCCATTTGAATGAGAGGGCCAGAGAGTCAGATCCATGGAGAGAAGGGATCCTCTTTGGTTCCAGTGCGGTAGTGAGCACAACTGTTTCTTTGAAATTGACCTTCATTTATTTGGAGGGGAAAGCAGTTAGTTCAAGAATGGTTTCCTGATGCCTTTCATTCAGCATTTTAAAAGGCGGAAGAAAGATCTGGAGTGAGGCAAGGCTCCAGTGTTTTCTAAACAACTCACTAAGCCTGGCCACTAGTTGGCTGCCCAGCACTTCCTGCTTCCCCCCTTCCTGCACCCCCCACACTGCAAAGCGTATCCCTCAATAGCCTGGCCACTTCTGGGGACCCTGAGCAGGTCTGCCCCAGGCAGGGGAAGTTGGTCTGCACTGCAGTGCCACTGGATGTCTTCCTCACAGTGGATGGAGTAGAAATACTGCTATATTCTATTGCAATTATTTCCTGCCCCTCCCTGGCTTGATTCCAGGGGCGATATAAAGAGGCCTTGTTTGGTGTAGTCCATCCCTGATCCTGAGTGAGTGAGCACTGGTCCCTGGTCCAACTGGTCTGAGGCCACAGGGAAAGGGTAGGGAGGAGGTGAGGAGAGTGTCATGGGTGGGAAGGGCACAGACAGAGACAAGACGCCCTGCTCTGTGGGCAGCCCAACCCTGCTCCCCAAAATAAAAAGAAGGGAAGAAGGAAAACAAATGGGGCACCCCGAGTAGAATCCTGTAGGGGGCCTGGTTATTTTACCTCCTTCCCAGAAGGAATCCCAACCCTTCTCTCCCATGGAGAAGACAAACACAACTATGGAAATCTCATGCCAACCAGGCACCTGAAAGTCTAGCACCAACAGGAGGTCACTCCTACCTGCACTGCTCTGTTTGCCCAGCACGGTCACCCCCGGATCTGCTTTCACCCCTGTGAGTGAAAAGTCCTTCATGGAAAATTTAGCATTTGGAACTTTCTTCAGATTCCAAAGGACCTATTTGTTCTACCTCATGTTACTTTTATTTGGGTGTTGTTTTAACTGACATGAAGTAGGAAAACTACCTCTCCATTTTTTTAGGGGGGATGTTCTCCCTAAATTATTAAGAAAACATTAATTATGCACCTTCCTTGTTGGAGACGTCGAGAACCTTTTGGAGTCCATCCCAAACCCAAGGCCAGGTGACCATGTTCCTCACCTCACCTGTCTGATTTCCAAAGAAGAAGGATGGAGATGGGGTCATCAGCTCAAGTACCATGTCTCAGAAGGTCCCAAGGAGATCATGGCATGAATAATCAGAAAGTTTCCCTTTCTAGGAGAGGAGAAGCAAGCTCAGAGAGCGTCAAGGAGGGCAAGAAGCCCTCACTTCTTATGCATGGAAACCAAGAACCTGAGATGAAAGGAAGGGGCAGAAAGGATCGCAGGATAATGGGAATGAGAACAGTGGACTTGCTTAAGCACAGGACCCAGAGAGGAGCCACATCTTCCCACACCACTGTTTTGCTGGGGAAGATCTAATCTTGGCATCTAAGATATTGATTCTGAAGGACAGTGACAGATCCTCTGATCAGTAATTCTCAAAGCCTGTTCTATGGAGCACCTCTCCAGAATCCCCTGGGTACTGATGAAACATGCAGATTCCAGGGATCCATCTGCTTTATTGAGTTAGATTCTCTGTGACTTGGGCACAGGTGGCCACATGAATATCAAGTTTCACAGGTGATTCTGATATTTATTAAAATTTAACTTCCCTTGATCTCCATAGGATGTTCTCCAGACACGAGATCTGGAGCCCAGAGAGGTAGAGCAACAAGTCTAGGACCATAGAGCTAATGGATGGCAAAGTTCAAATGAGAACTCTGCTGATATTGACCACCAGAGCAGAGCAGAGCAGAGCAGGGTTCTTTCCATTTCAACGTGCTGTAAGCCTCTTGTCTGCTTGTAGCCATTTTCCCTGCCAAAGCCTGCAACTCTGATCATCTCTGCAACCCATGAAAGCCTTTTCCTTCTTGAGCATCACAGAGGTCACAGCCTCTGTAGGCTGGTAGGCAAGGACAGAAGGAAGGAAAGAGAAAGACCCAGTTCTCTTCTGAGCCATTAGTAACAATTGTGAGTTAGTAACACAAGTGAGTAAAGGAGGAGATACATTATTATACCCGAGGGAACGATTGGGTTTGGTTTGTAGTACCAATAGCTAACTTTCACTGAGTGTCTGTGATGTGCTACATTTTGGACTGTCTTTTCCATGCATTAGTGCAAACTCCATGGAGTAAATACTAAGTAGCCCCATTTCATAGATGAAGAAGCTGAGGCTCATACAGGAGTGATCCTTTGCCTGAGGTCATGTGACTAATAAAAGACCAAATAAACTCTATACAACCATGATCTTTGCCATGGCCCCAGGCAGTGTGAACTGTCATCCACCTGCAAAAGGACCCTGAGACTATGGGAAAGAGAAGCAAGCTTGCTTGCAGTGGGATATGACCATTCCTGGCATAGAACTTCAAGCCCTTTCCACTTAACCCTCGTCATTGAAAATATTTCTCAAAGGCATTAGCCTGCAAGCCGGCCTTAAGGAAAGATAATATGGAGAGTAGCTTAAATGGCTTTTTTCTTTCTTTCTTTTTTTTAACAATGAAAACTCTTGATATCAGTGTGCTTTCTTTCCATTCACCTTTTTCTCTAAAGGAGCGTGACTTCACAATTTTGGTTGCTTGAGGGGTTTGGTTATATTCATTTCTGAGACTGGGTGGGATTGCAGGTGTATGTGGTCTATGGCATGTGGCACTGACACCTCTCCCAATATCATGACAAGTCATGTGCCATGATCACCTCCTTTCATTTAGTTGCTGCTCCCCAGGGATAGAAAAAATCAAAGCAGATCAGTGCCCCAGAAAGGGGACAAGGTTTTCCCAGGCCATGGGAACCACAGGTCACAATATCCTTCTCTAGGTTTACCCCCAGCCAGACCTTAGAAGAAATCAGGTAGCCTTTTGAACAATTCAGTTAGTAGGACCACAATATAAAATAAGATGGACACATTGTTGTCAAAGGGGAAGGACACACTGCATTCTGTCTTTCCAGGACCTGGAATCTTGCAGTTGAAGGGGAGGGTCTATTATAATTTAATTCTGGGCATTCCGTAAATCACCAGAGTTGGGAACATTTTGGGGTGAAATGAAAACCGAGAACATGTGACCCTCTAGTCATTTTCTCTTTTAAACCTCAAGCTTCAGATAACTTAAAGGCCCTATGGGGCTGTGTGGCTGTAAAATGTTCCTACTAACTGATAATGAAGGCAGCGCATTGAGATGAAAGACAGCAGTGAGGGAGGAGGGGGAGACTGCAGCCTCTGCAACGCTCTGGAGAAACGTGGTCTCTGCAAGAGCCCTGGAAATGCTGAATGAACACTGCCTTTCTGTGTGTGAGCTGCCTCCCTGCTTCCCAAACGACGCGTCTGCAGTAACTACAAACTATTTGGTATGCTGCATTAGTGACGCCGCCTAAGCCAGCACATCATTACTACCGAAATAACGCTGGTGTGATGCTCAAGCCAATGTCCTTTTTAATTATTAAACCGAGGCTGTTGAGTGAGTCATTCCTTATCCCAGATTTTCCTCCTGAGGTTCTATTTCAAGTGCCTAGTACCTTAGCATGTGCCACTGACACCTGAGTTGGTTTGTAGCCAGCTCCCCAATCTGCAAAGCCTTTGCAGAACAAACAACATTATCCAATCTCCAAATACACAGAGACTGCATAAAAAACAAAAGCCACATAAAAACTTTAGAGTTAGCTCCTCAGGAAACCCTCGAGCTCAAAATGGTCAGTTCCCCTCTGCCAGTCCCCAACTTACCAAGAGGGAGAGCGATGAAGAAGGGAAGCCAACACAAGATGAACATGCCGACCACAATGCCCAAGGTCTTGGCTGCTTTCTTTTCCCTGGAGAACTTAAAAAGTTTGACAGCTATGGAACTCCTGGGGTTGTGGCCCTTGGCCTTGGTACTGCTGAGGGTGTCCTCGTGAAAGTTCTTGGAGTGGATCCTCAGGGTCAGCTCCTTGGAGTTGGACATCTCCTTCATGACTCCCGCCTCCAGGTTCTTGGTGGTCCTTTTGGCCACGATGTAGACTCGGCAGTACATGACCAGGATGACCGCCAGAGGGATGTAGAAGGAGCCCAGGGAGGAGAAGAGGGCATAGAAGGGTTCTTCGGTGACCCCGCATTCCTTGTCGTCGTTGGGCGCCGGCTCCTTCCAGCCAAGAAGAGGCCCAATGGAGATGACCGTGGACAACACCCAGACACTGAGGAGCGCCAAGATGGCCTTCCTCCGGGTGACCAGAGTGGGGTACTGTAGAGAGTAGCGTACCCCAATGTAGCGATCGATGGAGATGGCGCACAGACTGAGAATGGAGGCCGTGCAGCACAGGACGTCCACGGCCGCCCAGATGTCACAGAAGATGCGCCCCAGCACCCAGTAGCCGAGCACCTCCAAGGTAGCCGAGAAGGGCAGGACAGTGAAGCTCAACAGCAGGTCGGCAATGGCCAGGTTGACGATGAAGTAGTTGGTGGGCGTCCGCAGGTGCCGGTTGCAGGCCACAGACAAGATGACTAGGATGTTGCCCACGATGGCAAAGAGGATGAAGGCGCCCAGCACCAGGCCCACAGAGATGGCCCTGGTGATGTCCAGCTGGGGCAGTGTGGAGTTGCTCGAGGTCTGGTTGGGGCCACTGAAGTTGGCATTTTTCAACTCTCCCCAGCGGGCAGGTGCTGATGTGTTGTGGCCGGTGTCCAGATCGGGATTCATTTTAGAGTCCGCCCTCCATAGCCAGGGAGGTGATTGGGCTCGGAAGGGCTGCGGCGAAGGCTCCTCAGCTGCCCTGAAACTTTGCTTCCCCGGCGGTGGTCTTCCCAGAGGCGTCCTCCTGGCGAGAAGGCATGTCCCCCGGGCAGTCCAGCCCGGCAGCGCGTCTCCTGCCTGCACCGAGCTGCTCGCTAGCCTGTCAGAGGGAGGAGGAGAAGAGAGGGGACGAGGCGGCAGCTCCAAGTTTAATGGTCCACGTCAGGCGCGCCGGGCCGGGCTGGCGGGGAGCGGCGGCGGAGGGGGCGGCAGGCGCGGCGCCCGGCTGTGCCCGGCCCGCGGCGGGTCTGCGGTGCGCGGCGCCTCCTCCGCCCAGCGAGAGCCGAGGAGGGTCTGCTTTCAATGAGCCGCCTCTGGGCTGACTGCACGGCGGTGACATCAGGCGGGGGAGCCCGGCGTCCTGACTCCGCGCGGCACTAGGGGGCAATGCGGGTCCAGCCAAGGCGCCCGCAGCCCCGACGCCGCCACCCGGGTCAGCCTGGCGGCCGGCCGCGCCCCCGCCGCTCCCGGCCGGGCCAGCCCTGGCAGGGGCGGGGGCTGAGAGCCGGGACCTGGGCGTGGGATTCCCCACCCCGCCATCCCCAGGGGGGCCCTCGGGGATTATTTTCCCTTCTATTCACTCTTGGGTTCCCAAAGTGGGGTGGGGTGGGGTGCTTACTTCTAACTGGGGGCTCCTGGAGTCAGACCCTGATTTAACAGGAGGTGCCACCCGTCCGGTCCCTAAAGGAGGAAGAATCCAGGGTGAGGCAGGCGGTGGGGTCTTGAATCAGATCCGAGACCAGACCCCACCCTTGATCTCCCCGTGGCAACCTCTTTGGTGTCAATAAAGCCTGGAGGCTTCTCTTCATTCATTCGTTCATTCGCTCCCGCACTTACTCACCCAGTGAGCTTTACCAAGCACCCACTGTCGCCCCGCTCACTTCTAGGCTCCGAGGGTGTGGCAACTGAACAGGCACACACAGACTCCTGTCCTCCAGGAGCTTCCATGCCAGTGATATATCACTTGATGACGCGTTAGGGATAATAAATAAGCAAATTATGTGGTTTATCATCTAATGACAGGGAGAAAATAGAGCAAGGAGAGGGAAATTCAGTGTGTGTGTGGGGGGGCGGGAGGGGCGCAGATTTTAAATTTTTAAATGGGTGCTGGGGATGTCACCCAAGTGATTCTTGAGGCAGGAAGGAGGAAAGAAGCTAGTTGTTTATCTAGCGGGTGAAGGGGAAGAGACAGCCCAACATCTGGGGACAGGTTTTCTTTCCTTTCTGCCTTATATCTATGTTGGACCTGCAGCTGCAGGGACATATTTCCAGAGGTGGGTGAATGGTACTTAGGAGAGAAAGTGCAAGCTGAGAAAAGCCCAGGAAGAGTTCTGTGCTAGTTAACAGTTAACCAACACTTATGTCCTGGACAGCATGTTAATTTCTCTTTACATTTTTTTTTTCCCCACAGCCCTATGAGGGAAGAATTATTCTCCTCCTTATTTATATCTTGAGGATGGGACACCAAGTTATGGAGAAGCTGAATTCTTTGTCCACGCCCATCCAGCCATCAAGGAGAGGAGCCGGGAATGAAACCCAGTTGTGAGATCTGCTCCAAAGTTGAGTGCTTAGTCACCTTGCCCCTTAGAGGAAATGTAGGGGATAGAGGGATTATGGTAGATGGAGCCGTCTTGTAAGTGGTACATTTTGGGGTCTGAGCTACTGTATTGCATGGAATTGCATTTGTTGAACTCTTATTGATAGCCAATATTCAATTTTTTTTCTCTTCACAACAATTCTTTGAGAGGGGCACACTGTTTTCCATGGACAGATGAGAAAATGGTGATTTATAGAGAGTTAGCAAATTCCTAAGTTCACATGGCTAGTGACATGTAGCAGAGCAATGGGCAGTGGCAGCTAGAGATTAAAAAGTCAAGCCCAACATCTCCTTTTACTTCAGTCCACAGTCAACTTCTCCCGCCTTTGAGAAGCCCTGTAGCTTGATATTAAGGGGAAAGCCATAGTCTCTAGGTGTAATTTACATCTAAGCTCTTCAATTTAAAGGTGGATTCTTAATCTCTTTTTATTTTTATTTTCCAGAGAGGAGTGCAGGTGGTCATTATGCATCTATCTAAGGGTTTATCTTCTCCTACTAAAATATAGCTTCCATAAATGCACAAAATACCCAATTTCAAAGATTTTTCCCTGAGGTTAAAAAAAACAAAAACCTGTGCTAGAGATAGCTCTAAAAACAGATTTTTTTTCCCATTTCAATTAAATTGGCCTAACTTGTACCTGAAGATTTTACAATGAGAGATTCACACGTGTATAGTAATGGAAACCTGTAGGAATTCTCAGAGCCTTTGTCCATCTTCCCATTGTGGAAGTGGTACAGGGGGCAGAGGAAACTGACCAGCTTCGGGGGCTGGTCGGGGCAGAGCTGATTATGAAATTATGTTTCCCCAGTTCCTTCCCCTGCTGCAGAAGCAAGCCACCCAGGACAGCCTCTTGTAACTCACACAGTGGGGTGTGAGACTGGTACAGCTCGGGCATGTCTCTGCCAAGGATCTTAATGGGAAGGTGAGGTGGTCCTTGGTCTTGAGGCACATGTGCTAATTTGTCTGGAGAGAGGGTCTGGTGCAGGTGATCTTTTGAAATGCCCTAGCTCCAGGTTGTTAGCTTTCTATGCTGGATAAAATGGACCTGGAAGGCATCCCTGCTGTCCTTTCTCCCATGCATCTTCCACAGTGGGGTGGGGGTGTGTGCCAGCCACTCACTCCCACCATCCCCATGGATTTTCAAGTCTGGGATGATGGAGCTTCTCTTGAAGTGTTTTACTCCCAAGAGAAAGTCAGGGGAGGGAGAGAATGCCAGTGAACTGGCACAAAGCTGGTGATTAGCACAGAGGCAGAGGGATGCAGGGTGAGGAAGGGTGGGACAGAAAGAAGAGCAAGTTCCAAGTCCACATTTTGATTGTGGTGGCCCATTTCCCACTTCCCTGGGCATTAATTTCACCAGCTATTGAGCAGCCAGCAACACACCACTGAATTTACAGAGGCCGTGTCTACATAATCACAGTTACCAGCTGCAATGTGAGAACTCAGCCTAGCAGACATTTTTTTTTTATGGTGGCAAAAGGCCAGGAGAACAAAAAAGAAAAAGGGCAAATCTGAGATTCAGACCTGGTTTATCTTTATTATGAAAGAGGATAATTTGTTGCTTGGTGAGAACTTGTGTCCTGCTTCAGGTGTCAGGATGTGGAAGAGACTATTGAGGCAGATACAGAAATGCAGGATCCTTGCGGGTTTCAGACATGTTGTCATTGACCAGCATCTTTTGCAAAGGCAAAACAAACATCCCGCCAGAAAGCAAACAGGTATTAGCTTTAATAGTGGCCACTAGCGGGACCCCACCAAGCAGCCTTTGCGGATAGTCATTTTCTTGCTTTCTTCCCTTCCCCTCACTTAACCCTTCTGGCTGATTTTTTGACCCATGCAACTGACCGTTTGTTTAGGTGTCATGAGGATGCAGACGATATTTCATTTTCTCGGTACTCCCTGGGGCAAAGCCAAGCACAGAGCTCTGACTCACTCGAGGCTTGGGAAAGAAGAATCTTTTCATTATCCATCTTATTACATTAGAAATCTCTGAAGTTGCAAACTTTCATTTCTGTGAGCCCTCTGGGAGAAGCTGTCACAGAACTTGACTGGTGGGGAAACTGAGGCTGGCAGATTCAGGGATCTGTTTAGGGCCTCTAGGAGAGGAGATCTCTCACCTGTGATCATGCGGTTTTGTACGATCCTCTCCCTAGTTTTCAATTCCACTAGAGATTTACAGGAGCATCTCTTCTGCAAGTTACCACGCTGGGTGTCGTGGCTCCAACAGAGGTAAATTGACTAAGCGAATGAAAACCTAGCCCCGGGGCAAGGTGAGGAATGATACTAACAGTACTTCACCTTTCAGAGAGTACCTACTATGTGTCAAGTGCTGTACTAGAACTGTGGGCAGGGAATTATCCTCATTTTACAAATGAGGAAACTGAGGTTCAGGGAGGTTCTGTGACATGGCCAAGGCCATTCAGTGAGTAAGCAACATTGGTATGCAAAGCTTCATTGTCTGGCTCCAAAGCTTGTATCCTTCTCTTTGCACCAGACTGAGATTAAAAAAAAAAAATGCAGCAGAAGGCTTCACGTTAGCCTGAAGGAAATTACAGCAGGAAACAGAATGTGATCGGGGTCATGAGTGAGGCAGAGGTCAGGGAGGAGAGGCAGAACCATCCCAGAGAGAAGGTTCTGCAGAGGTGCTCCTTGGGCCAGCCTCCCCTGCCTCCCACGCAGGATTTGGTCTGCCAAGGAGTTGAGAACTGACTTGGATTCTAATCTTACTTCCATCCTTAATAGTTGCTAATGTGACCTTGGGTAGAAGAGTAAAGTGAAGAGCCAAAACTCTGGCATCCCATAGACCTGGGTTTATGTCCCAGTTCCACTAATTCATTATCTGTGTGCTCTTAGGCAAGTCATGTAACTATTTTGGGCACCCAGTTTCTTTACATGGGAGATGAAGATCATCATAGTCCCTACCTGTGTATAAACTACCTAGTGCAGAGCAACAGTCATTCTTTAAGTCAGGAGTTACTGGACACACAGTGGGTGCTAGGCATTGGTCCAAAGTGTCTTGTGCCTATTGGCTCATTTAATTCTAATAATATTTCCAGGAAAATGCTGTTTTTATGGACATTTTATAGATGAGGAAACTGAGGTTCAGAGTGGTTAAATGACTTGCGTGAAGTCCCAGGGCTAATAGCACAGTTAGTATGCAAAGACCTTAGTAAATGAGACTGAAAAAGCAAAAAGAATTAGAGGTATGAGGCATTGGTCCATGAAGCATACTGGGCTCTGTGGGGACTCAAAGCATAATTTTTGTTCCCCTCTGCTCCCAGATAAGACAGATGAGAAGTGTCCTTTCTTCTGGTCAGGGGACACTGACTGCAGCAGAAGCATTTCTACTACCTCCAAGGGCGGCCAGTCAGAGGCTCCCAAGAGTGAGGAATTTCAGCTCCCTCTGGGCAGAACTGCTTTTGTCTGTGGTAATTACAACTTGTCACTCTTTGGTGAGCGTGGATTCCCCTAACCCAGCACTTCCGGCCACACAGCTTTCCCTGTAAAGTAGAGAGAGCTCAGTAGCAGCTATTTGTAGCAGACTGGTGAAGATTAATTGCCAAGTCATGCAGGGACTTAACGTACATCCCTTAGTCAGGGAGAGCCCAGGAGCCCTGCACTGGAGGCTGGGGTATGAGCCCATAGGGTGCTGAGCGTGGAGTCTGAAAGGCCTGTCTCTGGAACTGGAGAACAAGTCCACTCTCTCCTGCTACTCTGCCAAGGAGCACTGCCAGGATTGACTCTCTAGCCACATGTGCTGAAATCACCAAAGGTTATAACAACAGGCTCCCTACAGCTGGCTTTTCAATGCCCTGCCCCACTGGTCTCCAATGCCACCAGTCAGGATCATGAACTTCTGAAAGGTCAGAACCAAAAAGCTTTAGACACCATCTAGTCCAGGGTCTGCAAACTACAGGCTGGATCTAACCCAGCCTTGCATGTGTTTTTGTAAATAAAGTTTTATTGGCACACAGCCATGTCCATTTATTCGCATATTGTCTGTGACTGCTTTCATGCAGTAATGGCAGGGTTGAGTAGTCGTTAACTGACATCTCTCCAGCAGAACCAGTGGTTCTTAGACATTTTGGGTCCTAGAGCTTTCTGACAATCTGTTGAAGGCTATGTATTTTTGTGGCTTTATCTGTCACTTTTTTTCTGAATTGCTTATCAGGGCGACCTCAGTGCAAGTTGTTGGCAGGGCCCCTTGATCAATTAATCTCTAGCCTGTTACTTCTTATTTTTCTCTCTCCTGCTAACTCTATCTTGGTGTAACCTCTTTCACTTTGGGGCAACAGAACTAATCCAGTGTTTTACCATTTATCACGGAGCAGGACTTGAACTGAATAAACTGAATGGATGCTGGCCTCCCTTGTCCTCCGGGAGTTTGCAGTTTAAGGTGAAGAATGGAAATGTGCAACCGAGGATGCATAGAGAATCGAGTCTGACATTGAACAGGGATGTGGGTTAAAGAAGGAAAGAAATAACTACATGACACTGGTCTCAAATGTCTCCATCCTTCCTCTTCTTCCTCTTTGTGTGCTCTCAGAACCACACCATGCATCCCCTTTGGGAAATTTTCACTTGCGGTGGCCACCAAGTTCAAAAAGGTCTGAAGGAAGCGGTGGGAATCTTTTCCTTGGGGGCATCTGAAAACTGTATTTGGATAAAGTGTTAGAGCCCAGCTTGGGAGGGAACAGACCAGGCCCCAGGGGAGCAAGGCAGGGGAGTGATGTCACGGGGTGTTTTCTGCCTTCTCATCTCTTTTCTCTGGCAGAAGGGCCAGTGTGGGAGCCTGGGAAGAGCATGGGCATGTTTGGGGAGTGCTGGGCGGCCTCACTTTGGGCACCAGGGGATGGCCAGGAGAGAAGGGTGAGAAAGAGGCAGTTCCCTTTGCCCGTCTCAATGGTGCACTGAGGAATGTTGGACAGGAAATGCCAGCAATTATTTACTGGACACCAAATCAAAAGATTTGGAAGGTTGCCTTGGGAGTCCTGAGAAGACGAGGGGAGAAAGAGGGAGAAAGAGGAGGTATCTTGATTTTTCTGCTCTAGGGAAGATTTTGTGGAAACTCCTAGACAGGAGCAATCTGGTATAACAGCAGTTAGCTACATGATGTGAAGTGCAAGTTCCTGGGAGGGCCCCCAGATATCTCCCCTGCCCCTTAGGTGCTATGCCCTTAGATAGAACTCTTGCTTGTCTCCCTGGACCACGTTTGAATTAACCATGGCTTTCTGAGTGCACTTATGCACCGGCATTTTGTCAAAATGAGCCACATGTATCATCTCAGTTAATCCTCCACCATCCTCGTGGTAGATACCCTTGCCTCCTCTTTATAGATGAGGAAACTGAGAATAGGAGAGTCAATTACTTGCTCAAGGTTATGAAGACATGGGACAAGAGCAGAGGTGATGTGACTAGAAAGCTGATTCTTTTCACCTTTGTGATACCTTAAATTTTGCTGCAGGCTGACTTTTCTGTTAAACAAAAATCAAGCAAACAAAAATCTATAGAAACTTCTGGGCAAGACTCAGCAGACAGGGGACATAGATTTGGAGAGGCAGAAATGTTTGGGGCTGTGCTAGTGCACAATGAAAACACGGGCCCTTCTGTGAGGTCAGATTTGAGGATTAAGTCTCTTACCCTATAAAGAAATGTGTCATATGCACACGATGTAATATTTTCAGCCATTAAAAAAATGAAATCCTATCATTTGGGGGAAAGATGGATGGAACTGGAGGAAAGTGAAAAGAGCCAGGTGCAGAATGGTGAATACCACAAGATCCCATTGATTTTTTTTCCCCCATTGATTTTTAGAGGCTAAAAAAGTAGGTATCAAGGAATAAGAGAGTTAGCATAGTGGGTCACTAGGGACTAAAAGGGTAGCTGGGAGGGAAGATCAGGACTGTTTGACAACAGGTGCCAAATAGTTAGGAAGAATTGGAAGAATCGCTATGGAACAGCACAGCAGGGTAAATGGCATCTATGATAATTTATGAAAAATTTCAAAATGACTAGATGACTGAAGCTTTTCAACACATAGAAATGATAAATGTTTTAAAAAATGGAAATGCTAATTATCCTGATTTGATCATTATGCATTTTATATATGCATCAAGTTATCACACTTACTCCATAAATATATACATACAAATATTATGTGTCTATTAAAAAAAAATCTCTCTTCTTAATCCCTCCTTGGGAACCTCAACTGAGCTTATATCAGGCTCCTGACACACTTCTTCCAAGAAGAGGATGGGAGGCTTGACCAGAGTCTTGTCTTTAAGGATTACAAAGGTTACTGCTCCCATGATGGTAACCAGCTGTCGTTTACCTCAGAGAGAGTCAGCAAATATAGACTCTGATGACAGCATGAGAGATGCCACTTAGCTCTACTGAAGTAGCTCGTTAAACACCAGACTAGTTTCATCTGGATGGATCAAATTTTAGCTCCTGCCACTTCTTGACTTTGACCTTGAGCAAGGTACTTCTTTATTTAAGCTTCCGTCTGTTTATCTGTAAAATGGGGATTTTAATAGCATATACCACATCAAGTTGTTGAGAGGATTAAATGGAACTGTGCCTGGAAAGTAGAGCGCTCAACAAATGTTAGTTATTGTTGATATTTTTGTATAATCTAAAAGATACACAACAGATTTCCCAGGATCTGGAATATGTAGGAACTGATTTTCCTAGTTGATCTCTCAACTATCCTTCCAACCTTGGACTTGCCAAGAGATGTAACTGATACATTCCTTTTCCTGACACAAATTGCCCTGAACAATTGTGGCTGGAAAAACGATGATAAAATAACAGCCAGTATTTACCGAGCACTTACTGTGACTTAGGCACATGTCATGTGCTTTACACGCATTATCTCATTTTAACGCAAGAGTCCTATCAGGCAGGAAGAAATCATATGTCTGGCCTTTGAGATGCAACTTAGGAAATTGCCATATTCGGAGAGCCCAGCGTTTTCTGGAAATAGTTTATACGCAGAGAGGACTCCTAGGTTGGAGGCGAAGTCAGTGTGTGTGTGTTGGTGATCTTGGGCAGTTGGCCCAGTGAGCTTGCTATGCAGAAGGAAAGAGAAGCACAGTTCCAGTCCGTGGGCAGGATCGCAGGCCCTTGGACTATAATTCCTGATCACTGGTACAATTAGGGTCCATGGAAATTTTCCCTGGGCACCAGACAAAAGAGGCCCACACACCATAGACTTCCCATCAGAAGCAGACCACTCATATCCTAGAAGGGCAGGGGAGGAAGGGGAGGCTTGTGTGAACCTCTGTTGTTCCCAGATATGGCAGAGAGGACCAGGTCCCTGAGAAAGGGACAAAGAGGAGGGGATAAAAAAAGCAAGAAACCAGTGCCAGTCCCTATGTATTTAAGATTAAATTCCAGTGGTTGAGTGGAAAAGAAAACATGAAACAAAAAAAATCCAAAATTCAGTCTGAGGAGCTTGCGGGAGAACTCACCCTAAAACAGAGGGATGATCTCTAGCTTTGAAAGCTTGGTTCTTTGGTGTCACCTGAAAACTCGAGACTGTTCCTTTTGTTCAATCTGGGGGCTGATCACTTCTCTTCTTGATGCTGCTCCATCCAGACAGAGCCTAGGGATTTAGAAAGGGAGAAACATACAGCCTGTGAGCAGGTCAAGGCTTTCCTGTGTAGCTCGTGGTGCTCAAACTTCCCCCGGTATAAAGGCCACCTAGAGTGGGCTTTAAAATTCAGATCCCTGGACCCGGATATCCTCATTCTGCAATTCTGATGTGGGGTCCAAGAATTTACATTTTGTAGAAGTAACCCAAGAGATTCTACTGCAGAAGAGGAACAGGGACACGTTCTGAGAAAAATCATTTTGGTCCAACATCTCCATCTTATTGATGTTCGAACGGAGGCCCAGAAAGCTCAAATGACTTGACCGAACGTCTCCCTAGCGAGGATTCCTGTAGGATCTGGGTCTTGAAACCACGTTTCTGATTGCCCCTGCTACCAGTCTTGCCTCCACTGAGCCCATGAAAGATGGCTTTGGTCTCCGCTTTCTGCTGCTTACCTCTGGCCCCGGGGCCTGCCCATTCATCACACTTCCTCAGGTGCGGGGAAGGCTCCTTTGTTCTCTGCTCTCACATGACCACATCCCTCTCCATCATAATGGCATGTACCTTGGTTTGTGGCTACACGCCCCTCCCGTGATGCTGTGATTACAATCTTTCTCTCTCCCTAGACTACAGATGTCATGGGATGAGGGGTGGCCTTTTTTTTTTTTAATGCTTGTCCAAGGGCCTAGTGACAGTGTCAGAGGGGCAGTCAGGGCTGAACAAATATTGACTACGTGAGAGAGTGAGTGAATGAATGAATTAAAGAGTAAGTTGATCTCAGCCTTCCCTGAAACTCAAAATAAAGCAAAATGTGTGAAACTTTTGTTTTTCTATGGTTCTCTCTTTGTAGATGTTTTCTTAGTTATTGTTCTTGTTTCTGGCCCAGCTTTTGCCATTCCGGCTGTTCATCCCATCCCTGAAACCAGGGCCTCCTGAGTTTGAACTGTGTAGGAGGAGGCTGGCTGTGTGTGTGTGTGTGTGTGTGTGTGTGTGTGTCTGTTCACCTCTATTCTCTTTCTATTTCTGTAGTGGAATTTTACGTTGCAAATCCATTCTCTTCTCTGCAACTTTCCTTTCTTTTCAACCTTAACCCCTTTCCAAGATTCCAACACTTTCATGTTGCCTCCAGCAACTCCTAAAAATTGTGACCTTACCAACCTTCTGTTCCCTGTCAAAGTCTACCAACCCAACATGCCATTTCCCAAAAGCCCCGTGAGTGGTAGGAATCCCTTGTAGGCTGGATTCTTGCCAGTGATGGAGAACAACCTCATCAGTTGGCTCTTCTTCTTCCCCTTTTAATAGGACCCAGATCATTTTTTTCTTAATTAAAGATGTGTGATCCAATGAGCTGGTCATACTCAGATTTTATGGAACCCAAGCCTCACTGATGGTAGGAGAAGGGTCCCAAGGAGTGGCAGATATTTATTGAGACCACGTTATGGTTTGAGGGGCATATGAGAATGAATAAGATCATTTCTCCCCCTTGAGGGTTTTATAGAGAGGTGAGTCACGGATTCATATTCATTAATGGAGTGCCAGTTAAATAGCACTTTTGGAGATTTAGTATTTTGTTACTGGACAAACAATGATGGTGGCAGTGCTATAAATTTAGATGAGACTGGTGTTTAACGCATCCTGTATTGGGCCTGAACATAAGTCCAATAATGCTAATTCTTCTCCCACTGAAAAAGAGATAGATGTTTTTCTGGGCTGGAGTGGGTTAGTTGTTCTCCACTGAGGAGAAATCTCTCTTTGAGGTTCTGGGAAGCACATTTGACTTGCAATGAAACTTTTTCGACTTGGCAAATGTACCCATTTATGTTCAGGATTGATTTCTACTTAGAAACAATTATTTTCTTTGAGTTCAAGCAGTTCTCCTAGGATCCTGCGCATGCACACATTTTTACTCGCTCTGTGTAGATAGGGAAGAGTCGTTCAGAATCACAGCTGGAAGGGACTGTAGAGATCACGTGGCCCTTCCTTTGTTTCACAGGCAGGGAAACTGAGGCCAGAAGAGGAACTTGGCCACTCAGAGCCAGATTGATGCCCAGCCTGATAGTCTTGAAACTAAATGGACGTAAAATAACTATATATTATTTTTATTATTTAAGAACAAATGAAAGTAGCTTTAAGAAGATTATTAAGGTGGATTACATGCCTAGCAAAATTATGGAAACAAAAGAGAAATAATTCTTCATTCCTCTACCCAAAGAGACCAGTGCTGTTAACATTTTGGCCCAATGTTTTCTAGATTTTACACGCGCGCGCATGCGCACGCACACACACACACACACACAGACACATGCATCAGTATATTTTGTTTGTGCCTCTGTTTAGAATCTTTGTAAGTGCTGCTGTCCCCAGAGTCCCCTGCCTCTGAGGCCCAGGTTGATCTTCCCCTCCAGCTCCAGCGTTGGGCATGACCCAATCAGAGCCAATGAGTGCCTAGGGACCCCTCTGATGTAGGATTTGAGGATGAGGGGATGTAAAGTGGGAAGCGAGGTTTGGGAGTAGACCACAGGTCATGTGACCATAGTGAGGGGAGCCTGTCTGGGCACAGGAAGCTGAAGGAGCCTGGAGATATGGGTTATTCTTCCCACACACTCCCCTGGGGGTTACCAGAATAATCTTCCTTTAAAGTAGCTAGATGAACACTACAGAGGACCCAATTCTTAGTTGAAGGACTTTGAGCAAGTCAGTTACTTCTCTGAGTCCAGTTTCCTCACCTATAATATGGGATGCCCTTTGGGGCATTACGGTGAGGGTGATACATGTCTACTACTATCACTGCTACTAATAACAAAAATAAGAATCAAACCTACAGCTATATCTATTAGCCACTTGTTGTCTGTCAGGACTTATGCCAAGCAGTTTAATGTACGTTTCATTTTATCTTCACACCCACGGAGAGTGGAAGGAAGGGGAATCTGCTCACGATTGCCTGTGTAATGATTAAATTCTGAAACGCAGAACCAGATCCTGAGTCCTGGTGCCATGCTTTGCCTCTTTGAACGTTTGGTCTGGGGACCTTGGAGCTTTTCAGATCCTCTTGGCTGGGGGCCTCCTTTGCCCCTTGCAGGAGACAGGACACTGGCTCCATACTAGAGAGGGGGACCCTCCTGCCAGGCTGTCATGGGAGAGGGCTGGGACACTGGCCAGAGCCCTCTCTGTCTGCAGAGCCCCCCTTCCTCGCTGTGCCCCAGTGTTCCCTAGGTAACCGCGGGGGATGTGGCACAGATTTATAGGCCCGCTGCTCCCAGCAGCTACCTGACATGTTGTGTCCGAGAGCGATGGTGTCTGGCTCCTGGATGACTCAGGCTGGCGGCATGGGAGGAAGGAAATCCCCCACATTCTCACCTCCCACCAGCAAAGGGACCAGGAGACGCTGCTCCAAAACACAGGCTGTTAAAACAGCAGGTGCTCACGACTCCTCTTTTGCAAATGGGGAAACTGAGGTTCTTTTCCATCAGCTCTGTTATTTATTTCAGGAACATTGACTGAGAAATGGCTTTGTTAACAGGCACCGTGTTAGATTGTGTGGGGGACCCAAACCCAAGAGAAACATCCACGGTGCTCTTGACTAAGTGAGGAGGTGTATAGGATATGGCAACTGGGAAATGTCACCCAAGGGGACCTTGAAGTGTGGGAGGCCTCAGGAGTTAACCTGTCTGGTTTGCTTGAATGGATTCAATTTGAACTCACTTCAAGCATTCCTTTATTTTAAAAAACAAGTTGTGTTAAAAAACACATAAATTTACCCCTTTAACTCTTTTTAGGGTGCATGTTAAAGTATTGATAACTACTTGGATTGTGAGGGCTTAACTTAATCAGCTCATCCTGGTTTGAACAGACTGGCTGAGTGGTGACTGTGGGCGGGTGGGTCTAGAGGAGGTGGGTCACTGGGGGTGTGCCCTGGGAGGGTGCATCTTCTCTGCACCCCTCCCCCTTCCCCTCTCTGCTTCCTAACTCCACCATGGGCTGAGCAGCTGTCCTCCACTGGGCCCTTCCCCCATGACGTGCTGCCTCACCTTGGGTCCTGTGAACCCCAAATAAACTTTCCCTCCTCTAAGTTGTTCTTGTCAGGTGTTAGGGCCACAGTGACGCAAAGCTGACAAGGGCGGTGTTGGTCTTTTCTTGCGATTGACTTATTTTATTTATCATAATGTCCTCAGGGTTCATCCATGTTGTATCATGTGACAGGATTCCCTTATTTTTAAAAGATGAATAATACGCTATCGAATGTACCTGTGGAGTTTTCTTTATTCATTCATCCATCAATAGACAGTCAGGTTGCTTCTACAGCTTGGCTGCTGTGAGCAGTGCTGCAATGAATGTCTTTGAGATCCTGTTTTGAATTCTTCTGGACATGTACCCAGAGAGGGATTGCTGGATCATATAGTAGCTCATTAAAAAAAATTTTTTTTGAAGAAGCCACACAGTGTTTTTCATAATAGCAGTACCACTTGCCCATCCTACCAACAGTCCACAGGTGCCCCAGTTTCTCCACATTCTCACCAACACTTGCTATTTTCTGCCTTTTTAAAAAAATAGTGACCACCCTAACAGGTATGAGGTGCTATCTTATGGTTTTGATTTGCATTTCTCTGATGATTGGTGATATCCAGCATCTTTTGATATGCTTGTTGGCTAACTGTGTATCTTCTCTGGAGCTAGGTTTACTATTTAGCCCATTTTAAAGTTGAGTTATTTGTCACCACAAATATTCTTTTAGCATTTACTTCAAGGGCTGAGAAAAAAATCAGATGAACAAGAAATCCTCAAGACGATTGTAGGAAGGTATTTGGGATTTTTCTCAAGGTGATGTGTCTGGTTGAAATCCTACAACAGGTGCCATCAGTTTGAGCTGGTATTCAGGAAGAGGGTTTTTTTTTTTTTTTTTAAAGTTTTGATCCTACTGAGATTCTATTTGGCTTATGTGGCCAGTGTTGGATAAATCAGTGGGGACACATCTTCTGAGAAGATCTTCCACTTATCACTCCCACTTTGTCCTT